AACATTATTCTTGCAGACGGCGTAACCATATTCGTGAATCCACAACCCGAGAAAAGGGTTGAAGGAGAATCGGTCACATTTACATGTGAAGTGGAAGGCAAACCTGCTCCTAACGTAACCTGGCTTATAAACGACAACCCATTGACTCTAGAGACGAGTAGGATGAACGTCACTCAACCTACTACACACGACAGGACGGTTGTTTATCTGAYGATCAATGACCTGAAGAGAACAGACGAGGGTAGTTACAATTGCAGGGTTAACAACTTCCTTGATGAACGGTTGTCAACTCCTGCTTTTTTARCAGTGTACTGTAAGTTATTATATTACGTATTACGCATTTTTCATCGTTGAACTACCGTGCCCCATATTGGACTGTAAGCAGTCCCTCTATTTCTCTTGGTCACTGTTCACTTACAAATATTTTTGCACCATCTTTTGAATCATCGTAGATCCACCAGTTATCTTCCAAAATCCACTAAACTTGACSAAGAGGGAAGGAGATTCAATGGTGATGTTGTGTGGGGTAGACGGGAACCCTGTTYCTGAAGTCACGTGGAAGAAAGACGTAGTGACCTTAGTGCATGATGGGAGAATAAATATCACTAAGCCGAGTAGYGTGGGGMGAGTMYACTCTACGTTGACCATCAGTAATCTTGTTGTGGGTGATAAGGGCACGTACAAGTGTGTGGTGAATAATACACTGAATGCAGTGGTGTCGTTTCCTGGAAGTTTAATTATTGTCTGTAAGTAAACATCTGGAGCGTCTGTGTGGACGAATAGATGATTATTCTAACATTGTTTTACTATTTTCTTGGTTAGCATTAGACCTATGGTTTGTAAACCCTGAAACCAACTTCACGGTAACTGAAGGACAAAGTGCAACCCTTGTCTGTGAGGTGTGGGGCGAGTCACCTGACATTACCTGGTACCGAGACGGGAAGAGCATGGAAGCGACTCGTATTAGGACTATTACTAGCGGTAAAAGAACAGRAGCAGAACTGACGTTCAACAATGTACAGGCGGAGAATTCAGGCGTTTACACGTGTACTGCAAGTAATAGCTTAAGATCTATTAGTACACAGATGACTCTTGTTGTAAGCGGTAAGGAAGTTGTATTGTTATTAAATGTTGCCCGAAATAGAACGCGCATAAAATTTCTCGCAAAAAAAAAAMACACWCACAGAATGTGGCGCGAAACAGAAGACGTGCATGAACAAATTAATCGTTTGATCGTTCGGAAAATTGTCGTTTGTATCACGCACTTGCGAATGAGAATATCCCTGCTTATTTTGCTTTGTAATAGTGTAATATTTATGTTATAGTACCAATTGAAGTCGATATGGATATCACAGTAGAAAACATGGAGTTTTCAGCAGAACTCAACAACAAGTCTTCGCCACGGTTCCAGAACTTGTCCAATACTTTCAAGAAAGAAGTATGTTTATTTGGTGTACTTATCTTATGTTTTGCTTAATTTATTGGTAAATTTGTAGTTTCGTAATCCTTAAAGTGTTGTATGTACAGGAACCTGTGTATTATTAGATGATTGAAGTAGATGTATAGATGTATTGGGTGAAGATTTTTAAAATGCTGTTGCACCGGTATCTTGTATACGTACAGATGGGTGCATTTTAAGGATGAAGCAATGATTTAAAAGTTAATGGGCAGCAAACCAACTATTCTTTTTTAGATCTCAACTATYTATAAAGACATGGAGGGATTCAAAGAAGTACAAGTACTTGGATTCTCGTGAGTATTGATCGTATTATCATTATTCWTTATCTCATAACTAATCCACGGTCATTCATCTTTTGTTCCATAACACTCAGRAATGGCAGCGTTCAAGTAGTTTTTCGTGTTAKATTTGAAATAAAAGTCAATAAACCAATTGAAAAGCCGCCAACTGATGTCAGACAGAAAGTAGCCAATACTGCAATCGAGGAGATTTCCAAAACGAATGGATTCATTGGGACTTTGAAGTTCAAACCCGGTTCTCTTACTCCTTTGGGTGAGTCGAATCCTACTGATAACTTCTGTTTGCCTTAACTAGACATGAGGTAATGACCATGTTCCGCATGCGTACTTAGCAACCGCTGAATCTTCCATAACGCGCACAGGTCATCATTTAATCCATAATTTTTTTTGATTAGAAATTTCCTGTAACTTTAARTCAGTTGATATTCTTTTGTCCTCTAGTTCCACCTCCACCACCTCGAAATCTAACAAAGACGGAGGTCAAACTTGAACAGATTTCTATTACTTGGAATAAACCTGAATACCATCAAACGTACGGTGTTACGGGTTACGAAGTACAATACAAAGAGTTCGCCGGTGAAGAATGGAATAATATCCCTGTACAGGGTAAAGATGTGAATGACTATGTAATCAACGATCTGAAACAAGAGACAAAATATTTAATGAAAATAGTTGCAGTTAACAAACRAGGTAACGGTCCCCCGAGCAACCAATTAGAAGTGAGTACCGATAAACAGAATATTTGGACTAAAATCTGGACAGAATACAAGTGGGTGATAGTAGCTGTTGGTATTGTCCTGTTTCTTCTTGTCCTCACGGGGATATTCCTGTGTTGTCGCCGGAGACGAAGACAAAAAAACAAAGTGAAGAGACAACAGAGCGTGAGGCGCAAAGTACGTAATACTCGTGTTTCGTTATYAATAATATTAATAATATYAATATCAACTAATGGGTCACGTGATATATTTTTCCGTCCCTCTTTTGGTGGAACTCTCTTTAATAACTACTTTATYATCATTWAAATGTTGATTGTTRAAAAGGTCATATTTGACACCTAACATGGCGGTACACAGGGGTACTGGCGATAAGGTATTTCGCTCATGCAAAACGATTACTCCGATTAACTCACTGATTTTGCTCTTTCAGCAAGGGAACTTTAGTATATCTGGWCAGAGCWTCAAGAACAGCGGATTTGAGATGSCTCAGCTCRCATCGAAGTTTAGAGAGATATCACGTGAACAGATCATGATCGGAAAAGAACTGGGATCTGGTCAGTTTGGCCTGGTGACTAGAGGGTACCTTAAACAGGATAGAATGCACTGCGCTATAAAGATGCTCAAAGGTATTGATCAAAGAATTATCCATCGAAACATTTATATATGAAATGACGTCACACTGTGAATCCCTCAATATTATAATATAAGGTACACTGGCATGTATACATTACATATTACACTAAGTATACTTTTTTCTCTTAATAGAAAGCGCTCCTCACTCCCATTACAGAGATCTGTTGAACGAACTGGATATAATGAGTTCAATAGAGGAACATCCCAACATCGTTAATCTCATTGGTGCCTGCACACAAGGAGGTAAATAACAATAATACAACCGAAGAGCTGGTAGACAATCATACAATATGATTTAACGTGACTTGCGGTGTCGAGTAATCTTGRTTAAAAAGTGATCCGCTCAATCTAATTGTTAAGCGTTCTGGGTTTAACTTGTGTAGCTAATGACTTAATGAAAAGTGAGCAGTTTGCCTTGTAATCATTTCAGGAATGTAACCATGCTTTATATCTTATAAATATGTTTTCCAGTCATGCAAAACTATTGGACTATTTTCTGCGTGTAACAGGTCCAGTGTGGTTGGTCGTTGAACTCGCAGAGTATGGMAGTCTGTTGGATTTTCTTCATAACAACCAGATGTACTCGATCAGCCATCGAGAAAAGGTGTCAATTTTAACTGAATCACAAAAGATCAGGATTAGCCGTGAYGTGGCTARAGGACTGGAACACTTGGCAGGTTATAGGGTAAGTACTAAACTGTGGCCCTCATTCCAACGATCGGTTTGGAATTTGGAGGTGTTATTTTTTCTGGAAGCAGAAAAAACTCTCGCGATACAGAAGGGAATGAGAGAGTCGCGCGACGGAACTGCTAATGGTTTTGGGAGTCCAATAATCCAAATGATAATACGTATATAATCGTTTAGTATTCATGTGTTTGTAGTGCGTTCATCGAGATCTGGCGGCAAGGAATGTACTGCTTGGCACCAACATGACTGCTAAGTTGTCAGACTTTGGRCTGGCAAGAGATGTGTATGAAAGAGGATACTACCAGCAGTTATCAGACATGGTATTGTATTATTCTAGTGTAAAATACCCACCAGAAAACACACGAAAATAAGCCAGTGTCTCACTGACTTTTTTCTGGCTTTGATTTACAGTTACAGTTTAGATGGTTTCATAATGCGCCTGCGCGGAACTGACCACTAACGATATCCAATAAGAGCTCAATGAAAAAATATCTTTGACATATTTCACGAATATCGTTTTTCCTATCTTCTGCGTTCTTCTGTAGAAAAAGTTACCAGTGCGATGGATGTCAATCGAAGCTATCGAGACGATGGTGGCTACCAAGGAGAGTGACATGTAAGTCTTGGCCGTTTGAAATGTTCTTATTCCAGTTCTACTAATCAGTCAAAGTTGTTCCTAGCTTGTAGTTTTTCTTTATTCGTAGCCGATTTGTTGTAATCTTTATGATTATGTTTTCTCAGATGGTCGTTTGGAGTTTTGATGTGGGAAATCTATACTGGAGGTGTGTATTTCTATATTTATATCTTACAAGATGCATCGAAAGATATGCACTYTAGGATACCAATGGATGATAAGAGCCAGTCATACATKTCAACTAAAACTCTCATTCAACTCTCACTGTTATCAGGTAAGCTGCCATTCCTTGGGTTATCAGCAAAAGAAGTTCTCAAGAAACTTAAGAAAGGAACAAGACTAAGCCAGCCAATCGACTGCTCAGATGAAATGTAAGCAGTGAATATAATGATATATGATAAAYGTTGATGTTCATTCTGTTATAATCAAGCGTGTCGTCTATTAATGTGCGCAACAAAAATTTGCGCRTTTCTATKCAATCAAACTTGATTGTGTGCAACAATACTGCTGTAGATGGACRAATTCATCAATGTTTGGCTTTTTTCTCTTGCAGATATGCTATAATGATGAGTTGCTGGCATTCCAGTCCTCTCAAACGTCCATCTATTGACCTCCTCGCCACAGTGCTGGACAGACAGCTGCAATTAAGACGAAACGACGAAAACAACGTGGACAGTTCTATGGCTTAGTCCAATAAGGTGTCGTCATGTTGGAGTCTGTTTTTTTTTTTTTTATCTTAAGCAAATATAAAAGGATTGGCCATTAATTAACTTGCTTTATCGAGTTTTGGGTGCACGGAGGGTGCTTAGCACGAAGGTAGCKTAAAATTCGCATGAGGCATAGCCGAGTACGAGACTAGCTCCTTGAATGATTAAGCAACCCAGATGTCCTCACAGTGGTTGATATATTCAAATGTAGTCAGACGTCAACTTGAATAGCTTGATGACGTTATGGCGAAGACTATTAATAGTACAGTGTTTATTTTTAGTTACATAGTTTATATTTGATGTACTCATATATACAAATATTTATAGAATGGTTTAAATATCATGGATAGAGCAATCTATTTTGGTCAGCTGGTATTCGTTTTATCGCGTGTCAGCCATTTTGAATTTCGTTGAACTGCTGGCGTTTATCCGTAATCCGATCTTATCTGTATTTTCTATTTTCATACCAACTGTTAATGTACATTCATGGTTGGCTTTTTTTATATAGAGTAGAGTAGTAATTAGGGAATTTGCTGTGGGGGTAGGGAGGGTAAAGGTGAAAAGAAATGAGATGGGGAGTGTGGGGCTAAAAATGTCATGTCACAGAATATTGAAATGTCTAACATTAAAACGTCTGCTATTAATCTTAAATGGAAATATTACTGAAAAAAGAATATTAGCATAGCATAGAATATTAATAGAATAATAGTATTAATAGTAGTGTAGTAATGTTAATATACATATAAATATGTATCAATAGAATGCACTGAAGACAGTATGACGTGGAAAAGCACTTCAAAGGGTACTACTGTTCTTTATCGGTTTCTCTACTCAACAGATGAGTTATAGTCGCTACTATTGTAGAGTGCACGCACTAAACCCGTGAAACAAATACTAACTTTTAATACTAAATGGTGATAAATGAACAATAGAAAACCAAGGATTCTGTATGAAATAGTACTAATTAGTACTAATTAATGTTMACGGATTTAGTGCGTGCACTCTATTCATTTTACCTACCTAGCAGCAACGGAGTATTAAGTTCACTTCCTTTCTAGTCTTGGTCTTGGCTCAGTTCTGTCTGGTCATTGATCGTTACGTTTTATCGCATTCTAATATATACATTTAGCGCATSCGCTTAGGTTATTCAGCCATGTCATTCTTACTGCGCATGCTTGGCGCACGTACAAAATATACATGCTAATAAAAACGGGAAACTTTAAAAAAATATTAATTCTCCTAACCTTACAAACTACCAATWAGTATTTARCGACGTTYGYRGGCATTGTTCGCGTGCATCCTTTCTATGCATGAATTTAGTGCGCGCGCGCTCATCGTGATGACGTCATTCCAATATTTTGATAAAACACATGGAAACGTCTCTTATTTCTTACAATTTAAAACAAAATGGGGCACCCTCATTTTTTATTTCGTTTTTCGAAAGTACTTTATAATACCGAACTTTAGAGGAAAACTTTAAAAAATATATTGATAGCATCCAATCGAAATTACATAATTTGTGTATAATTGGAAGAGAATTTCACGTAACGTGAAGGCTCCAAGTCCACGCTCGTAGCCCAATAACATTTTATATTTCTAATATTTCTAAAACAAATTTTAAAAATAAACTATTTGGTTATTTTCTTGAGTTTTATTAAGACATTGAGGCCGATCGATTTATCTTTTCAGTCAAATATGACTTATCTTTGACAGCTTTCCTTGCTTACCCGGATGTTCGCGCATTTATACCGTAAAAAGCATGAACGTCCACGTATTCTGATGGCTAACAGAAGTCGGTGACCCCCATTTTTTTAGTTTCTTATTTTACTTCTAGTAATAATGTACGTTCATCATGCAAAGTTTTTAAAAAATCTGACAATGGGATCTTTTGCCCATGAACGTCCTCAACCAACTAGAGCGCGG